TAGGCAAGATGTAATGTTCTTAAAATGTATCATCACGTCAAAACGTCATCTGCCTATAAACATATAAGTCGGGAAGCGGGAGGTGAAAAATCCGCTTTGAAGAAAAAAAAGGTGTAAATCCTCGCGACTTTGGTCCCCCGACCCCTCCAGACTTTGATTAATGCCGACGCCTTTGAAAGTTGCCGTGTCGAACCCCAGTCCCGCTTGATCGATGACGTACCATCTCCCGCGATTTTAGTCAGGATTTTTGCTGTCGGAATACATTTATTTTCAGAACCAACGTTCTGTGGTGGGCCAAAGTTCGAGCGGAAAGTGCTCGGTGAAGAGGAAGGGGAGAATATAATACGGGGGAGTTCAATATCGCCTGAAAATGCGCGTTTGAAACAGTAAATGGCGATAAAAATATTTGAGGAATATCCACACGTCTTTGAGCAAACAACAAACAATTTATCACAGTTTTCCTCTCATTTTATGTATCGTATCTAAGTAGAGACCTAAAAAAATTAAAAGGCGACATATGAGTTTTTGAAAAAAAAAAACTCAAAATTCGATCATACATTTTCTAATTGTTGCAGTCCATTTGTGTTCGGCAGCAGATTTTAGGTATTTGCAGATCGGCAACACTGGCTCCATCGTCAGTAAAGTATTAAAAGAAAATTGAGAGAATTTACTACTTAGTGGTAGAATTAGCTGTTTTTATAGGGGTTTTACATAGTAAATCATAAAACCTGAAGAATAAAAGTTTTATAATAAGGTTTTTAAGAACGCTGTAAAACATTTTTAAGAAGTATCCAACATCGTAGGTTTTATATATATTGAATCATTGAATAAGCCAAGGTTTATTATAAACTTCTTTTAAATATCCATAACCTTATGATAAAAGCTAAATAAAGCTGCGGAAACTTTTATAGGAGAGGTATATGAAGTGTATGAAGCTATAGGAGTAGTTCTAATGTACCGACGAAGCGATTAGTTAATATTTTTGAATTGACTGCGGCAACAGCCAATGAATTTCTTATAAAACAGTAAAAACTGTAATAAAAGCTAAGGTTTTTTTTATCTATAATCAATAATTATAATAAAACCCTAAAGCTGAGAAACAATTTATTTCCTATAGGAGAGGTACATAGTAGGTGACGTATACGTAAAGGAGTAGTTTATATGTAGCGACCTGTCTGAGCGATGTGATTAAGTTATATTTTCGAAAGAAATCTTCTGAAAACTATAAAATGGCACCATAACACACAACGGATTTCTTATAAAAATATCAGAACCGTTATAAATAGGAGCAGTTCACATGTACCGACTGATCCTAGTGATGCGGTTACCTTAAATCGTCCGAAAAAAAAAACTACCGCCGACAACAACAATAAAAACTATTATATGCAAGTATATGGAGGTAGATATTGCAGAAGTTCAACTGTACCGATCTGTCCGAGCCATGCGATTTAAGCTATGTTTTCTAAAAAGGTGTCGTAAAATGTAGAATAACGCCAAAACCTAATGAATTTTCTTATAAACATGTTGAAAATATATAAAACATACATGCTGCAAAAAATTTTAGTCTATTTAGAAGAAGAATATAGTGTAATTATATGAGGGTACCGGAGTAGTTCAAATGGATTGGCTATAAAGCTATAAAAGCTGTTATAAAAGCTAAGGTTTCTTATAATCGTCTCATCTTATAATAAAACCTTAAAACTAGGAAAGATCACAGTTGACATATGGAAATATAAGTGATATATATATACGTCTACATGATATATGCAAGTATAGGAGTAGTTGAAACGTATCAACCTGTTTAATAAAAATCTATAATAACTGTTAGAAAAAAAGGGTTTCTTGTAAACATTATATAATATGTAATAAGTCATAATATATAATATAATAATATATAATAAAAAATTATTTAATATCAGTTACTTTAGTAGAGGTGTACGTAGATATATCTGACATATATGGGGGTATATGCGAGGTATATAGAAGTGTAAGAGTAGTTCAACTGTACTGACTCGCCAAACACTCGTCAAAAAAATATATGTAACACCCGTAATACCAATAGATTTAGAATAAAACTATAAAAACTATTATAAACCTCTTTTAAATCTTATCTTGTAATAAAACCCTACAGCTGTGAAAAAAAAATGTATTGGTGACGTATATGGAGGTATGTGAGTATTGTATGGAGGAACAGGATTAGTTCAAAAATGGCGACCCGTTCTATTTTCGAAAAAAAAACTATTAAGACTGTTATAAAATCTAAACTTAAACAAAATTAAACAATAATAAATATTAAAATAATAGAACTGGGAAAAATCTTAATTGGTATAGTAAAGGTGTATGGAGGTATAGGTGGCACAAGGATGTAGAAGAGTGGTTCAATTTTATATCTTTAAAAAAATCTTCGAAAAAAGTACAATAACGTCTGTGAAGAGGGAGGCGACTAAAACTGGCGGTATGTGGGAGGGGGGTGGGGGGCAGGGAATGGGCGGAAGTAAGCAACGGCAGTCCCCCCGATAAACCGAGGTAAAGCCTTAAGATACGACAACGCAAACAGATCTCTGGCTGCCGCTGGCGCGAAACGTCTCAAATATTTACTTAAACGTATGATGTTCGCTGCGGGGGCTACGCGTATATATATATATTCCGGGCGTCTCACTCCGCGGGAAATCCCGAACGACGGCAGTTTTGTTACACCCCGTTGCCTAATTATCAGCCGCGAATTTTTGCCATTTTGCGACACACCGTATACTTCGGATCGATGGGGAAAACCCGCACACGGCCCCCCGGCCCCTCCAAATAACGGAAATAAAATGGCCCTTTATCCGAAACATGTTTTCCCATTATGTATATGTATAACAACGTGCCGGGTCCGAAATAAAATTTATTTAATTGCGAGAAATTTGGGAAATATCGTTCCGCATATATTAACAATTATATTGTGCCATTCGGTTCGGTTCAGTGGCGCGCCGACGTTCGTTTTTTACATCATCGTCCCATAAAATTAAAAACAATTTTGTGGGGCCGACATAAAAATCTAGAAGAATTATAAATTGCCACGAAACTTCGTACTGCCCATGATGAGAAGGGGAAGAAAAAAATACTTTGACATGGTTCAGGGGCAAAATAACATTTAAAATGGCAAAAAAAATAGCCATTACCCAACAGAGTTTCTGATCCTAATAATTTAAATAAGACGTTTAACGGTATCAAAACAAATGTATTGGATGGCGTGTCACCGTTAATGCTGAAGCGTTGTAGTTGTAGTAATATTTATTCAAAGCTTTTAATTCAATGACGTATAATAATATCCATTTGATAAGCATTCTTCGGGCAACTTTTTTATTGCTTACAATATTGTTCCACTTACACAATGTGGTTCTGAAAAGAAGTTTGGCACACAAGTAGCATTGCTCAACGTACTGGCTGATATTTTCCGACCGTATGATAAGCAAATGAGTACCGTTCTTACAATGTAATTGGCGTTACTCATGGGACACGCTGCATACTTAATTTTCGCTGGTATATAAACGAAATTAGCTGCGCGCCCATGTAATTAACAACGCAATGGACGACTAAATTCACCCCTTTCGAAAAAATAACTCGAAAAATTTATTATGAAAGGTATTAATTAACACCGACTAGACTCGGCCTAATTGCATGACGTACGTAATAACGACGACGATTAATCAACTTCCGCCTTATTTTCCATTTATTTACCCTCCCCGTCGGCCATATTGTGTTGAGCTTCGAGAACGACGTAGAATTGCCTTGCCTCGTTTTCAACTTCTTTTTTAGATGAGTTTCACTTAAGATCTGATGAAACCGTCAAAGTGTATAAAGTGTGCAATAAATGAAACATAAATTGTGCGAACTAATAAATGGACGGCGATAAGGTAATGTCACAAGGCTATGTTATGATCGATGATGACGGGAGTTAGTAGGCCAGGTTAAGTTAAGTTTAATTATTTTCAATCTCCTTATATTCTGTACTAAGTAAAATTTATCTAGTCACATTAGTTATATTTCTAAAAACCAAAAATATTCCGGGTTAAGACCCTTGTAGCATCGCCTCCCATAATCGGGCGATCATATTTTCATTATTATCCAAGATTTGTTAAGTTACTTGTTGCTGATTAATTGTTATGAATGTATACGAATTTGAACATAAGACGCAAAGGTCGATTCATGTAAAAAAAATATTTGATTTTAACGAGAGTCTCGAATAGACAAATGTAAACACAAATAAATTATTCCAAAAACCAAAATAGGTTAGGTTTTCCTCAGTTTACATAGTTTTTAAAATACATATCTCGCTATTAATAACAAAATGGTAATCTGTAGAATTTGAAGTGGGACAAAACACCAAGCTTTTTCACTCCTTGCACGGACGACAATGAATTGCTTGCCTTGAAAGCCCAGTGGTTTTCTTACACTTTTTAGTGCATTATATTGGCAATATTTCGTTGCCTATACCTATACTGGTGCCAAAAAAAAAACTATTGCTGATAAAAGTGAAGTTGCTATTGCAAAATGTTTTTCTAAAACAACAATGGAATTAATTCTCATATACTAACTTGCATGGCTATAAATGATTACTTTCGCCATATATCTGATACACGATGCCTCATATATTACATTAAACCGCATCACTTTCCTGGTGACTTTATTACGTTAACATTGAATTTTAACAGCTTTTTTATTTGTGCGACAGTGGATAAACTTATATCGATCTGCTAAAAAATTATAAGTAATCAAATTACAGTAGTAATAAAGGTGCTATATTATCTAATTGTTATTTCTTGTTACTACTTACTGTCAATGTCTGCCAAAACATATATTAAAAAAATATATAAGTTAGTATGTTTAAGACATATGTTCATTTGAAGTTTTCTTTTTAAAATGGACCAAAATGTCGCCCCCCTTAATTACTGAAAACACTCTCTATGAATGAAGAAAATCAGCCCTTTTCTATGGTAACATTTTTTTTTGTTTCTTACCTGTACGTGATGAAAGCAAAAACCAAGGCGACCAAAGACAAACTGCTGCCCAATACGATCAGAAGGGACAGGACGCTTTGCTCCGTCAGAGCCGGCTCTGTACCCCCGCGGGTCAAATTCGGAAACCCGTGAAGCCTCGCCGCGTACAGGGTGTCCATTTTTTCCTGGAAATAAAATACGAGCAATTCGCTCTGAGTGTGAAGAGTGTAAGAGATTAATGAAAAACTATGTATTGATTGAAATTTTATTCTGGAATGTTTTTATAATTGTTTTGTTTGTATGTATCTTATTGTATTATTTGAACAACGGCTTGCATGCGACATTTTTACGGAGTATTTTCTCAAAATACGTCTATTCTAGCGGGCACGGGTGTAGCGGTAAGGATAGATTCCCACTCCATGTATTAGATTCTTGTCGTTTTTGAAGCATGGCCTACTACGAACGAACTCATACCGGTGCAGTATAGTCAAAAAAGTACCAATCGCCGCTATTTTTTAAGTAGGTCCTTTATTGTTGGTCTAGCAAGAAGAACAGCATCAAGCAGATATATAGGACGTTTTTCAATTTTCGGCCATTTTGAAAATTGCCAATAACTTTTTAATTTACGAAAATTTTGGATCCAGAGAAAAAAATTATTATGACATTTTTCTAAAACAAATGCAGTGGCGTACTCAGATTTTTTCTACAGTTTTCTCATAGATAAATACAACTTTCTTATTTTATACGGCAAAGTTTGTTTGTTTATGTATTAGTAGGTGGTGCATAATATTGTCAAAAAGACATTTAAAATAATTTAAGTGGAAAACACGAAAAATTTCAACGTTCGTTGGTTAGTTAGATTTTTGTAAGAAAACAGTGGCGTACGGCAATTCTCTCTAACAATGAAAATTTTATTATTCTTCTGATGGAATAAGTTCGGGTGGGCCGGTGGCCCATTTATCATTGGCCCAAGCGCTCTCGATTGCATGCGCGGGCCGTAGAAACCCGGAAAGTTTTCACGTCGTTAATTATTTTTCGTAGGACGTTCGTAATGGCGCCCATACAACTTCGCCCACATTGTTAACCGCACTAACGAACATTAATATCCGGTAGATGCACGCGAAATGCCACAGAGTCCGGGCGCTCCGGAATTACGTACACCGGAATCCCCGGAACGGTTAAGGTTATGTCAGCTTCAAAAGTTTCGACTTTGGAGCCTCGTAAGGCGATTTATATTCCTGAGCCTGTTTCTTTTTTTATATAATAATTATGAAAATTATATATGATTTAGATTGGTGGACCGGGTGACGCAAGAAAGTGGGAACTCCTGCACTTCCGGTTTGAGCGGAAACGACAGTAACTTTTACATCCTATATTTTTTGCATTTTTGAATTCAGGAGATCATTCTACGTCAGTTAGGACAGTTTTTCTCTTTTTTTTTTCACATTTTTATTTAATTTTTGAAAATTGTGTCCAGCAGGCTGTGACCATCATAAATACTATTTAACGTGTCACCTGATTATGTGAAAAATTGTAAGTGAAAATTTTCTTTACTTGTCTAATGGCAAATAGCATTTAACGTAATGAACTATTAATATTTTAGGATAACCTAATGGCACCCTACTGAGCACAAAAACTTTTTAAAACCGGTACTTTTTTGCATCATTCTGACACCATAATTTTCAAAATCCGTTAAGCTCACAAAAAGGGAAAAACGAGACAAGTAAATACATTTTTATAAAAACAAAATATTACTTAGGTAAGATTAAATATTAACCTATTCATTTAAAGTTCTGAACAAATGAAGTCGCAGCCTTTTCAAAAAAATATTTGTCTCCTACGATTTATGGAGAAAAATATTTTTGTATATTTGTATATTATTCTAATCATTTTTGTATAAACTCCTTAACCAACTTATTCAATGCTCTGAAATGCTCAATTATACACTTCATTAAACACTCTTGCGAAAAACTTCGAGTTTTTCGTTACTTCAGTTACGGGTGGGAAGCCATCCGATATTTCGGCACACTAATGGAATTTTTTGACGATTCCCACGATGGTCACGCCACACTAAAATTAGTTTTCGTTTCGCTCCGCTCGTGAATAAAAAAAAAACTGATGACTAAAGTGTCTTTTGTAAAACTTGTTTCTTAATCCATGTTAATCATATCTAGAGAGATTCAACTATTACAATTTTTTGTGTTTTATTATTTTAAGGCTAAGGTTAATGTTGCGCAGAACCGATTTATGGCGTAGATTGAAATCCTGAAAGCGTACGTATCGCCTGGGGTATCCCTCCTTGTCATTAGAAACACCTCGAGAGAGGTCACCTGAGACCAAGAGTCTGCCTACTCTTACTATAAGAGTCCTGTAAAACTAAATTCCTATGACCAAGAGCACGTAAAAAAAATCGTTTACCGCTGTGTTTCCAGAGCATACTCAGTGGTAAAAAGCAAATGATACACTAATTTATAAGATGAAGAAAATGGAGAACAAGCTTCTCGGCGGCCATTTTGTTTTGGAAAATAAAGCAAATGGTGAGTCAAACCTAAATTTTTTGCTCTATTTACATCTAAAATAAAATCATTTTCAATCTCAACGTAGATCTTTAGTTCAACGTTTTCTCGAATGTCGTTGTTTTTTTTTGAGGGTTGACTTTTAGGTTGTGATTTCTTGCAAATAAGTTCAAGTTGTTAAGATCTGCGTGAAGATTTTGTTGAACTTTTGTAATGGATTTGATACCGAATGGTAAATGACGTTTATAATCTTCGGCAAACTGTTACACGCTGATTCATATCAGACACTTATAAAGACAAGAGAAGTTTATAGCAAAGAGTTCGATGTTGTCACTCTACTGTATCTACTTGTAAGAATGTCTTCCGTAGTATACTCCAAGTATACTATACTACGCAAGTACAGTTACATCATTTGCTACTGCTGTTGTGGTGATAACATGTTTTCTAAATCATGATTGGCAATGCGGTATAAGATAATTGTTTCCTAAAATCTCAGTAATTTGCTTACATATATGTGATTCCAATATTTTAGAAACTGCTGCGAGCATATTTACAGGTCTGCCACCTTTGATAATAGGTTTAATGATTGCTTTTTTCCAGATATCCACATCTGGAGTAATGCCTGCGATTAGAATTAGATTAAAGGTTTAAACTTCCTCTGTTCCCATATTACTGTTGTGAAAGTTTAATTATCATTCAATTATCAGTCTCTTGAAAAAAATTATGGATATCTGTGCACTTTTGGGGCTCTTCTGGAATCGCGAAGGGATTTTTCATCATCAGATGGATTTAGTTTAGTTTAGTCCAGTGTTCTTGACCTTGTATTAAAATAGGTCATTTTTTCCATGGCTATTGCATGCTTTGTAAAATTTCTTAGTTGTCTATAATACGATACGGCTCTATTAAGTTGCTAAGTTATTCAAGTTAAAGATTTAGTCATCATACTGAACTCTGAGTCAACATGTGAAAGGCCTGTAGAAAATATTTCTGTATTACGTAACACCAAAGGTTTACGTAACCAAAAATCAATCATTCTAGTTTATAATAGCTTCATCAAATCCACCTTGGAATTTTCATTTACCGTGTGGAATCCGATCTATCGCAAGTATGTCGATCGGATAGAGAGCGTTCAAAAACAATCTTTTTGGAAGCTTTAAATTATGATCTAATAGAGACAGACACTACTTTTCGTATGAAAACAATCTATAGTTCCATAAATTAAGCTCGCATGACACTATTTTTTCTTAATTACTGAGTAACTTCTGTGTATGTGTAATTGAATATCCTGTAATTGGGCAGCCTCGTCTGCCTATTGGTTAGCCTTTAAATTTTTGTAGTCCCTGTACATGACGTGTTTTTTCAATTCGACGATACCGATCTGTTAGAAAATTTATTCTAGTGTTATTTTAACTAAAACTGTCTATAATATTTTTATGTTTTATGTTTATTTTTATTTTATTTATTTTATTTTATTTTATTTTGACCTTTATATGATAATGAAACAAATCTAAGCAATTGCCAGGAAGGTCAGAATTTTTCAATGCTTCCCGGAAGTTCCCCAACCCTTTCTACCCACCTGGGGGGGCTTCTGAGACTTAATCGAATGAGTAGCGGCGGAGTAGAAGTCTGTCCGGGTTAATGCCGTCGTTAATTTTTGATTCGCGACTCCATAACGTATAGAGAATGTCGTAAAACTAAGAGCAACTAAAATTAGGTGGCAGCCGAAGCTCCATTAGAGAAATGGCCGACGTCTGGCCAAAAGTTTCGGAACAAATTAGATCTCGAGTATAAAATAAACCACAAAAAAGTAGGTTTTCGGGAAAGTTTCACCTTCACTTTTTAAAATCTCATAATTTAGATAAAGGAACCCCTCCCCCTTTCCACCCTTTTAAATTAACCTATTTTTATATTAACAAACAAATTCAACTTATGGGTTTAACAAAATAGTGTTGTTTATATATGTTACGTGTTACTGTTGCTAAAACTCTAAGACAGCAGGGAACCGCAATACGCTAGCTTTTCTAAAAAAGGAGATTATGTTCGACGCTGATAAGCATATTTTCTTTGTTTAGAATATACATTAAGCATTTGTGAAACTCTATATTAAACTGCTTCGTTAAGTTCCATCAAATAATCATTTTATTTTTTATTTTTTTTTTTCAAAAACAAACTAAAAGATAAAATAAAAAAATATCACGAAAGTGTTACTGTTATTTCGAAAAATAAGTTGCGATAAACGGATTTATTGGAAACTTTTTCGTCTAATTTATTAATAACATTTCTGAAACTAATCCACGTCAAGGGTACATGGATCTGGATCGCAGCGACGAAATAATACAGGGTAAGTCAACCATAGTTTGAAGTGCATCATCTCATTGTTAGGACGCACAATTTAAAATCATTTTAAAGTATACAGGGTGGCTCACGAATTAAACATATTTTTCAAAAAGTAATAAAGTAATGAAAAACGAAAAAAGTAAAATTACTTTTATCACCCTGTATCTCTTTAAGTAGTGGGTATATTTGATGAAACAAAATATTTTGATGGAAAGAATATAGTGGTATTCGATGGCCCGTCCGTTTTGACCTGTATATACATTACCGATGGTTAAACATTCCATTGCTCTCCCGTCCGTACGAACAGAGTATAATATGAGGAAATGAGAAAGAAAGGGCAGTCTTCGGATGCCCCCTTGTTTTAATCGATAAAATTATGCCAGTTACCGTCTCGGACAGCGATTGTCTCCCAGAACCCCCATAGCAAGCTTTCACCCAATTGGGGGGAAGTGTATTAGAAATTAATCGGGGAGAAGGCAACGCGAATAATTTATTTACCATCGGGATGCGAATCCCTAACGTTGGTGGAGGACTCTCCGAATACAAACGAGTCCCCCAAGGTTTTTTTATTTTTTCCCCCAAAACCACTTTTTTTGTCTAGCGTCCGGATGACGTCACGCACTACTGGAAAATAGGGGGGGGGGGCGTAATTTTTTGATCTCCACCACGTACCTGCCGAATATTTTCGAAAATCGAAGATTTCGAGTGGGTTTTTTTAGTCGCGTCGGCTCCTCCGCCGAAAATGAAAAAACCGACGCACGTGACGCGAGTGACGTAGAGCGTCACGACGCTCTCCTATGGGCGACACGTTTCAGACTGCGAGTGCCGGAAAGTTCGCCGGATAATGTACGACATCCGCGGCCAACGTTGCCGGTTCTCCGAAACGCTGCCATTTTTTGTTAAATGGGATGAATTGTATAGAGCCTTCGCAGATAAACTTTTTTTTTTGGTATTGACTGCAATAAAGTAATAATTATGTTAGAAAATGGCTTAGGGAATTAGGGACGTTTGCCTTTGAAGACTAGGAATAGCAAGAAAGAAATCCTATTAAATAACAAAATTTCACTAAGCTTAAGAAAAATGGAAGGCGCATTATTAAAAATTAAAAAATATATTAAATAATTAGACATTTGAAGCGTCTTGGAAAGTTCCCTTTAAAAGCGGAGTCCACCAGCTGCAGTCGACGGTATCAGAAAGGCGCTTAAAGAATTAATAGAAAAAGAAAAATAAATAAAAAAAATCAAAAATATATGAACAAATTTGGAGCGAACGTCTTAAAGAATCTTGGCAAGTTCCTTTTAATAGCGGAACCCCGCAGCTGTAGTCCAAGTTATCAGAAAAATGCTTTAAAAGCGGAAGCCCACTCCTTCCGTAAAAGGTATCAGAAACCGGCTTTTAGAATTAAGATGAAAAGAATATATATTTAAAAAAAAATAGAAAATATATTTAAAAATTGGTGCTATGTGATAAAATTTTGAGGGAACAATTCGAAAAAAATCAAAACTACGTATGCAAATATTGGACTTTAAAATTTTAAAATTTTGAGAGGACATCTTAAAAAGTTTTTTATAAATATTTAAGAACTACAATTAATGTCTCCAATAATTTGTTATTTTCTTTTGAATTGTTTTAGTATGCCAATACGCATCCCGTACTTTGGCTTGTATTTTCACCATTTCTTCGAGAGGGGCATCTTCCTTTCTCTAGCAGCTTAGTTGAATATAGGGCTTGTTCAATGGTTGGTGGTGGTCCCAGATCAACTTCTTCATCTCCTCCTTCCTCCCAAATCCTGATCTATCACCACTCGCTTAGTGGCTGATCATCTTCCAAGCTCTGTTCGCATTCTGTCTCGTTAATAAGTCCTGCATGACGAAAGGAATGTTGAATTGTTTCTGCTGTCACTTCTTTCCCAGCTTTACTAATAAAGTCGACTGCATCTAGCGTATTAATGGAAAATTTCCATTAAAATGTTTTTCCTGTATCGACTCTTCAGACTTTTTATTACGCTCTGGTCCATCTGCTGCAATAATATACTTGTTGTTTCGGCTTGAAGAAATGCCAATTCAATATTCCGCAGATTTGGAATATCGGGATGTGCAGTTCAGTTATCTAAGAGAAGTAGTATTTTCCTCCCCTTTAATTCTGCATCCCATTTCCGTATCTCCTCTTCAAAAATTTGCGATGTCATCCATCCAGACTTGTTTGCCATGTAAGTGACAGACATATGCTTGATGTTCTTAAAACATGGTGGGTTAGTTGATTTTTCAATCACGACTCGCTTTCTTTTTCCTCTCTCACTCATATTGGTAGCTACTAACACTATTATAAGTTTTTTAGAAAGTTTTCCACAAACACATTTTTCTTTTCGAAATTGAAGAGTTTTATGTGGCGTCATTTTGTAAAAAATAGCAGTTAAGTCAAATTAGAACTGATTGAAACAAGAGAGAGTGAGAGAGTGAGAAATTCGTTATACAGAGTGGATTAATGCATAGTTTTGTATGGAGACCTAATAGTACACCAAGTTTTTTTTAATAATACAGAGTTTTACTTTATATAGAGTTTCGTTATAGGGAGTTTTCACTGTATATATATTACGCGACATAATTTTGAGCAAACACTTCGAAAAGCTTTAGAAACATTTTTATAAAAGCAGAGCTTTCTAACTGCTGTCGAAGGTAACCCGCTTTTGAAATTAAGGGATAAACACGATTAATTTTTACAACATGTATGTAAAAATTAGTGTTGTAATTTAAAATTTGGAGAGGACATCTTAAATTGTCTTAGCAAGCTTCCTTTAAAAGCGGAACCCCCTACATGTAGTCGAAGGTATCGGAAAAAAACATTTTTAGAATTAGGAGGTAAAGCAGATAAGTTTAAAAAAAATCAAAAATATACTTTAAAAAAATTGGTGTTACTTAAAAAAAATTGAGGGGACACTTCGAAGGGCTTAAGAAACCTCCATAAAATAAGCGGAACCCCATACCTGCCGTCGAAGATATGAGAAAAATGCTTTCAGAAGTAAGAGAAAAGGAGACAAACTTTAACAAAATCAAAAGTATACATAAAATACATAAAAATTGGTGTTAAGTGATGAAATTTTGAGGGGACACTTCCAAGGGCTTTAGAAAAACGCTTTTAGGATTAAGAGCAAAGGAGATAAATTTTTAAAAAATCAAATATATACTTAAAAGTTGGTGTTACGAGATAAAATTTTGAGGGGACACTTCGAAGGGCTTTAGAAAAACGCTTTTAGGATTAAGAGCAAAGGAGATAAATTTTTAAAAAATCAAATATATACTTAAAAGTTGGTGTTACGAGATAAAATTTTGAGGGGACACTTCGAAGGGCTTTAGAAAAACGCTTTTAGGATTAGGAGCAAAGGAGATAAATTTTAAAAAAATCAAAAATATACTTAAAAGTTGGTGTTACGAGATAAAATTTTGAGGGGACACTTCGAAGGGCTTTAGAAAAACGCTTTTAGGATTAGGAGCAAAGGAGATAAATTTTAAAAAAATCAAAAATATACTTAAAAGTTGGTGTTACGAGATAAAATTTTGAGGCGACACTTCGAAGGGCTTTAGAAAAACGCTTTTAGGATTAGGAGCAAAGGAGATAAATTTTAAAAAAATCAAAAATATACTTAAAAGTTGGTGTTACGAGATAAAATTTTGAGGGGACACTTCGAAGGGCTTTAGAAAAACGCTTTTAGGATTAATAACAAAGGAGATAAATTTTAAAAAAATCAAAAATATACTTAAAAGTTGGTGTTACGAGATAAAATTTTGAGGGGACACTCCCAAGGGCTTTAGAAAAACGCTTTTAGGATTAAGAGCAAAGGAGATAAATTTAAAAAAAATGAAAAATATACTTAAAAGTTGGTGTTACGAGATAAAATTTTGAGGGGACACTTCGAAGGGCTTTAGAAAAACGCTTTTAGGATTAAGAGAAAAGGAGATAAATTAAAAAAAATCAAAAATATACTTAAAAGTTGGTGTTACGAGATAAAATTTTGAGGGGACACTTCCAAGGGCTTTAGAAAAACGCTTTTAGGATTAAGAGCAAAGGAGATAAATTTTTAAAAAATCAAAAATATACTTAAAAGTTGGTGTTACGAGATAAAATTTTGAGGGGACACTTCGAAGGGCTTTAGAAAAATGCTTTTAGGATTAAGAGCAAAGGAGATAAATTTTAAAAAAATCAAAAATATACTTAAAAGTTGGTGTTACGAGATAAAATTTTGAGGGGACACTTCGAAGGGCTTTAGAAAAACGCTTTTAGGATTAGGAGCAAAGGAGATAAATTTTAAAAAAATCAAAAATATACTTAAAAGTTGGTGTTACGAGATAAAATTTTGAGGGGACACTTCGAAGGGCTTTAGAAAAACGCTTTTAGGATTAGGAGCAAAGGAGATAAATTTTAAAAAAATCAAAAATATACTTAAAAGTTGGTGTTACGAGATAAAATTTTGAGGGGACACTTCGAAGGGCTTTAGAAAAACGCTTTTAGGATTAATAACAAAGGAGATAAATTTTAAAAAAATCAAAAATATACTTAAAAGTTGGTGTTACGAGATAAAATTTTGAGGGGACACTCCCAAGGGCTTTAGAAAAACGCTTTTAGGATTAAGAGCAAAGGAGATAAATTTAAAAAAAATGAAAAATATACTTAAAAGTTGGTGTTACGAGATAAAATTTTGAGGGGACACTTCGAAGGGCTTTAGAAAAACGCTTTTAGGATTAGGAGCAAAGGAGATAAATTTTAAAAAAATCAAAAATATACTTAAAGTTGGTGTTACGAGATAAAATTTTGAGGGGACACTTCGAAGGGCTTTAGAAAAACGCTTTTAGGATTAGGAGCAAAGGAGATAAATTTTAAAAAAATCAAAAATATACTTAAAAGTTGGTGTTACGAGATAAAATTTTGAGGGGACACTTCGAAGGGCTTTAGAAAAACGCTTTTAGGATTAGGAGCAAAGGAGATAAATTTTAAAAAAATCAAAAATATACTTAAAAGTTGGTGTTACGAGATAAAATTTTGAGGCGACACTTCGAAGGGCTTTAGAAAAACGCTTTTAGGATTAGGAGCAAAGGAGATAAATTTTAAAAAAATCAAAAATATACTTAAAAGTTGGTGTTACGAGATAAAATTTTGAGGGGACACTTCGAAGGGCTTTAGAAAAACGCTTTTAGGATTAATAACAAAGGAGATAAATTTTAAAAAAATCAAAAATATACTTAAAAGTTGGTGTTACGAGATAAAATTTTGAGGGGACACTCCCAAGGGCTTTAGAAAAACGCTTTTAGGATTAAGAGCAAAGGAGATAAATTTAAAAAAAATGAAAAATATACTTAAAAGTTGGTGTTACGAGATAAAATTTTGAGGGGACACTTCGAAGGGCTTTAGAAAAACGCTTTTAGGATTAAGAGAAAAGGAGATAAATTAAAAAAAATCAAAAATATACTTAAAAGTTGGTGTTACGAGATAAAATTTTGAGGGGACACTTCCAAGGGCTTTAGAAAAACGCTTTTAGGATTAAGAGCAAAGGAGATAAATTTTTAAAAAATCAAAAATATACTTAAAAGTTGGTGTTACGAGATAAAATTTTGAGGGGACACTTCGAAGGGCTTTAGAAAAATGCTTTTAGGATTAAGAGCAAAGGAGATAAATTTTAAAAAAATCAAAAATATACTTAAAAGTTGGTGTTACGAGATAAAATTTTGAGGGGACACTTCGAAGGGCTTTAGAAAAACGCTTTTAGGATTAGGAGCAAAGGAGATAAATTTTAAAAAAATCAAAAATATACTTAAAAGTTGGTGTTACGAGATAAAATTTTGAGGGGACACTTCGAAGGGCTTTAGAAAAACGCTTTTAGGATTAGGAGCAAAGGAGATAAATTTTAAAAAAATCAAAAATATACTTAAAAGTTGGTGTTACGAGATAAAATTTTGAGGGGACACTTCGAAGGGCTTTAGAAAAACGCTTTTAGGATTAATAACAAAGGAGATAAATTTTAAAAAAATCAAAAATATACTTAAAAGTTGGTGTTACGAGATAAAATTTTGAGGGGACACTCCCAAGGGCTTTAGAAAAACGCTTTTAGGATTAAGAGCAAAGGAGATAAATTTAAAAAAAATGAAAAATATACTTAAAAGTTGGTGTTACGAGATAAAATTTTGAGGGGACACTTCGAAGGGCTTTAGAAAAACGCTTTAGGATTAAGAGAAAAGGAGATAAATTAAAAAAAAAATCAAAAATATACTTAAAAGTTGGTGTTACGAGATAAAATTTTGAGGGGACACTTCCAAGGGCTTTAGAAAAACGCTTTTAGGATTAAGAGCAAAGGAGATAAATTTAAAAAAAAATAAAAATATACTTAAAAGTTGGTGTTACGAGATAATGTTTTAAGGGGATACTTCTGAGGACTTTAGAAACTTCCCGAGACGAATCTTTACGAGTTTCTTTATCAAAATACCCAAGTGTGGCAACGTGGGCGGGCCGCCCCTCTTTTTTCCGACCAATTAGCCGGGCATAATTCATTGAAAGGGCTCGTTTTTTTTTCGCGTATTCATTCTTTATCGTTCTCGTTCCCCCACTTTCGACGAACTCGCTTTGACGTCCTTTCTGGCGTTTTTTTTTTTTCACCGTCGCACGCTCGGGCGGCACTTTCATCTAAAAAAAAAGCTCTTATCCGTGCATTCGGATCCACTTTGCCGACGTGGCAAAAAAATACTTCGGATGGGGGAATATATTACTGTGGGGAGACTCTTCAGAGGCAGAAACTTTAAAATTTGAAAAAAAAATTTTTCGAACTTGTGTTGTTTACAAAATGAGGACCAGGAAAATACTAACTTTCCTTTAAATTTTCATCTATCAGTGCACAATGAAAATAAAAAAATTAAAAATTCCGACTTTCAAATGTATGATACCAGACATAGAAATGTTATGTGTGTTCCATCTGTTAATGTAAGCAAAACTCCATCAACTTCATTGGTATTAAAATGTAGGGGAAACTGGGGACACTTGATCACCATTTTGGTTTCTTGCTTATATTTTTATCAAATTTAGTTCTATGAAAATAATACATACATATATAGGTAGTCAATATTGTTTATTATTGTTTCCCATTGTTTGATTGTTATATTTATGAGTGCTTCATTTATTTTTTTTCTTTTTCCAAAAACTTTCCAAAAGGAACAAGTGTCCCATATTCTGGGAGACTTGATCCCAGTAACGGGTAGACTTGATCATGCAAACTTTAAATTAATGAAAATCCTGTTTGGTTATAACAAAATTATGAATATAATTAGCTTTATATGTCCTACGGATTAATTTTAGTGACTATTAAGTCTCAATCTCAATGTAAGTTCTACATTGTCATAAATGTAATAAGTATTAACAGGTTTTATTAAAGTATCTTGTAGTAACTATTCATATCACAAATTATTAACTCTTAAAATAAAGCTTCAAAAGTCTTAGCAGTATCTATATGAACTGCTCATCACCTAAAGATAAGACTTACATCATCATTAAATCACTATCATTAACTCTCTTTATATTAATCTCAAGGAATACTATTTTCCAGAGGAGCACGATCTTAATTTTTTTTTAAAGAAACTTCGACAGACTAAATGGATACTATTTACAAAACTTCTGGATTCCTCCTGCGTCGGTTTTTGTTGAGTCGAAATTGCTAACGTTTCGCCAATCATCCTGTTGGCTTCTTCAGAGCTTGACTAAAACTGAAAGTATTACAGTAGCCTGTGGAAGCTTGTTTGAAACAAAAGAATGCTGGTTGTTTACGTAATAATAAATAAGTAATTATGGTTGATATTCAATAACAGAGTGGTGAGCAACATGTAACTTTTTCCAATTTTCTTTGGTCGTTATGGGAGGCTCCAACAACAACAACACAAGAAAATATGGACGCTGGTATTTTATTCATTTTTCGAGGAATATTATCACTGTAAATAGTCATGACGGTAATAATGAAAATAAAATGATAAAAAAGATAAGATGATTTAAATTAGTTGTTCACATTGGTAACTTTGTTATGAGTAGATATGCAAAGCCGGTTAAATTAACACACTAGTAGCATTTTCTGCTGAAAACAGCAAAACAATGCGGGGTTTAGGAAAATGTGCTCTTTTTAAATAGAATGCCCTGTATATTTTTCACTCTAGGGTTCCTAAATCACCAACAGAACTAAAAAGGTCATATGCAATGTTAGCCTAAAATAGAAAATAACCGAATAATCAGCACATTCCTCTTTTAGACCAGATGGCTATGGGTGCTTGCGAAATAAAACAGCACGTCGTACTTCAATACATTTGTGAGCATATATTTCTATTTAAAACATCAAGGTGTTAATATCTTTCCTTATAAAATTGATTATTTAAAAGTCGACCATCAAGTGAGGTTATATCTGGTGACCTAGGTGGTCAAGAATTTGTAGCAATCTATTTGGAGATTCTGCATACTTATGAGGTCAAGCTCATCTAGAAAATCATCCAAAATTTCAGTAGCAATTGCTATTTACCGTTCGCTATTCACCGTGCCATCGAAAAAATATGAACCAACAATTCGAGAATCAATTTTACGGCACCAAACGTCTAAGCTGAAAAAAACTCGTGGGGATGCACCAGCAATTAATTTTCTTTTGAGTACACAAAACATGCCGAAAAATATTGTGGATTTAAGGGCAGGCTTGCCGGACGTCTAGATGGACCCACTATTTTTTAAAATAATCATGTATCCTAAGCGCGTTGTTCGATTTTCGAGAACTTTTATTAAAAATGTTATTAGAAATATTTCGAAAACTTATTTTTCAGGTTTTCGTCTTCTGTAAGCTACGTATTCGAATAAAATCATTGTTGGATTCAAATTTCTATAATCCGAACACATGAAGGTTGTTTAGGTTACGAGTCCTTTAGTAAAATATGTTCCAAGTGGCAAACACCCGATACCGATGTTTTTTTTAAGATTATTGGCGCACAAGACAAGATTCTAGACTTCTATAGCCGAATCGCGATATTCCATGTTCCCATTAATAATGCCGCCAGCGCCATCTACGAGCAGGAGCGCGGACCAATCTGCCTTAACTTCATAGCGACAGAGCGATCTATATTAAATTGTGCAATCGACGCGTCGATTGGTTAGGCAGGGGGGGGAAGAGAGTTGATTGAATTCTTTAAACTGTTTTTTGGTTCGCTTTTCCTGTGATTTTGACCATTTGATGATTGATTGACCCTAAAATAAATTAAACAAAAGCAATTAAACCTAGGTAGATATGCCCGTATAAGAGATTGTTGCTTTTCTCTCACTCAATAATTTTCCCTCCTAGTACGTCTGAAATTTTTTTTTATTGATTATAAATTCCTTTAGAAAATTACCTTCTAATAAACACCCGCCCATTAGTGTCAGAAGAAGCATTGAAGCTTTAATACCAAAAATCATTCTTCTTCTTCTTAATACGTTTCAAAAACAGTGGGATATGATTAGTATGATCGTTCGCCTAGGTTATAGAATTTGGTATGAAATTGGCGGGAAATTGAAACTCATACTGTGTAAAGCACGCGTCTAATTTCTATACTGTACAAACATTAGGTTACAAAATAGAGTTCCGTTATTTTACAGTTTAGGTTATGTTGTATCGTTAATAAATATACACAAATATACGTCGAATAAGAAACAATAAGGATATCAATTTAAGCAGTTTTGTAATTCGTTTCGGACGTTTGGTTACTTTTCGGGATAACGTGGTGATCCGACGGCCATTCTGTCGAGACGATTGCGTCCTAAAGCGCACTTTCGGGGCGGAAAGTTAACATAAGACGTCGTAGGATATTTTCCCAAGTTCGCCGAGCCAGTGGCCGACAACAAAAATATTGGTATTTAAAATATTGCCGATATTACGTGCCCAATTTTTAAGTACACTCATTAGCTATCGCCTGTGAAAGTGTCAATTGAATAAATCTTTTTAACGCCAACGAACGTATCACATTTGTCGAATTTTAAAGAACAAAAATCTATTTTATAGATTGTTCATCTTGCTTCCACTTCTTGTATCTATTGTGTCCAATATTTGGTTAAGTTTTTGATTTTTTATTTTTTGTTTATGGTTAAGTCGGGTATATTGTTCTGATATTTCCACAAAACGTGTTTATGTAGTACGTTCTTTATGGTGTGAATTAAGTATGTTCTACTGAGAGCCTATTAGTTTTCTTAATTACAGGAATTTTGCTATATATCGGGTGAGTTAAATTTATCCTAACCTCACTTTTTATTAAAAGAATAAATAAGATAATTTCGAACTTATTGCCGAATATAGGCAGCGGTCAGAGGATAGAAGTAAATATAAAATCTGCAAGAGACACCTGCTGTGTACAGATGTAGATCAAGTTCTGAAAATGGAAGAATAATTTTTTGCCCTCCCCGTCAAGGCTATACGAAGAGCTCCAGTTTGCAAAAAAAAATGCCCTACCCCATCACTTTAACAGAATAAAAGGGATGACCGGTAAAGCGTGGTTCTATAGTTATATAAAGATGCATCCAATACTATCCAGAATCGATATCACATATATTTTCGAGAACTTAGACAAGGACCAGGACCAGTCCTGGTTTCCTACGCTTCAGAAGAAAAACCGGAAGATTATTTCCACGAAAGGAAAAAAAAACGTTGGGACAGTTGCTAGCGAAGAACGGGGTGTTAATATGACGTTGCTAATTTGCAGGTGGTAGAGATTCTCCTAAAAAATTCTGAAATGACTGGCGCTTTCATAGAAGAGAACGTTGCCGGATACGCCTTCATTATATATGCATTCTCTCCAAATCGTCATTTGTGAATTCTGTGTTTAATTTTAATTTGTTTTGTCTGTTCTGTGGCAATTAAAAAAAAAACCGTTTGCAAGGTTTGATATAAAAGCATTGTGCATTTTGATAGAAATATGATAAAAGATCTCATTTCGAATTTCATTGAATTTGAAGAAATAATCAGAAACCATGTTAATATGTTAAGTGGTATAATATACCCGACTTTACCCATACACTTTATGAGTCGACCGATAAAAATTTGTTCGGTGGTCCGTGGCGTTACTATTCTACGTTTTTGTGAGGTTAGAATGCCGAACCTCATCACGTTGTTGAAACAAAGGACACGCGTAGGAATTCTCTTTTGCAAAGAAGTCCGATACGGCAGTTTCACGACTTGCACGCTAATACAGGGTCCATCGTAAAAAGAAGACTTCATATGAATGTATATCCCGAAGGTCTTAACTTTTGAGATACATGGTGGTGAAGTTTTCAAAAATAAAATATATTGTTTTAATATCTGTAATGTAATATCACTTTAGATATTTTTATGAAATTTTCCACACATGTGCTATGTATCAAGTATTTATGTATTTCGGGTACTGATGTTTCTTAAAATACAAATTATTGTTACAATCTCCAATCATTCCCAAACAAGTTTAATTTCTTGATTTCTTTCAATACTCCATGCAGTTGAAGAACTTAAACATCGAAAACAGTTTTCGCTAAATGTTTTGAAAGTTCAATATTTAATTTGGCACAGGATAAGAGCACACTAATAAGAGAATATTTAAATAACACATTAAATGATCGATTGGTAAGTCGCGACAGACCCGCAATGGCCCCCTAGGTTTGGACTTTTTCTTATGGGGGCATCTCAAAAGTCTCGTTTATTGCACCCCAGTCACACTACAAAGGGGACAGAATGATATGTGGTAACTACCGCGGAATAGCTTTGCTGAACCGCATATAAAATCTTAGCCAACATACTCCTCGACAGACTTAAGCCATACGCCAACGAAATAGTGGGCGAATATCAGTGTGGATTCAGAAAAGACCGGTCAACTATAGATCAGGTGTTCACCATTAAGCAAATAATGGAGAAGTGCTGGGAATTTAATAAAGAATTACATCAACTGTTTGTGGACTTCAAACAAGCTTACGATAACGTTTGCAGGGTAAAACTTTGGGAAGTTATGGAGGAACTCGGTTTCCCCAAAAAACTGATACGCCTAACACAAATTTGTATCAATGGAGCGAAGAACAAGGTCAGGATCGGGCAAGAACTCTCAGATATTTTTGAAGTCAACAACGGCCTCAAGCAGGGCGATGCCATTTCACCTTTGCTATTCAACATCTCCTTAGAATACGTGGTTAGAAAAGCGGAGATAAAGGCTCCAATGACAATGTTTCGCAATAATGGCCCAAAGCTACTGCTAGCATTTGCAGACGATGTAGACGTGATTGGTAGTAGTAGACTTAACGTCAAGGAGACCTTCACCAACTTCGAGAAACAGGCACTAAATATGGGATTGAAGATCAACGAAGGGAAAACTAAATATATGTACACAACTAGAAACAACCAAAGGAGAGATAGAGTAGGACAAAACATCACAATGGGTGACTATAACTTTGAGCGGGTGAAAAAGTTCAAATATCTAGGAACAACACTCTCAGAAAACGCTGATACAAGCTGGTAATAGATGTTTATCAACGCTACATGACCTTCTTAAATCAAAAAATCTCACACGCACGACTAAACTATCCATATATAAAACCATAATAAGACCCGTAATAATGTATGGATGCGAGACTTGGACACTTACAGTGGCCAACGAAGAGCGGATCAGGGTTTTTGAACGGAGAGTACTGAGAAAAATCTATGGGCCGGTCACTGATATAACAACCGGTAGATATCGTATACGCAAGAACAGGGAGCTATATGAACTATACAAAGACCCCAATATCATCAACGAAATAAAAGCGAGAAGGCTACAATGGGCCGGACATGTGAAAAGACTTCCAGACAACCGAATAGCCAAGCTAGCATGGGAAGAGGCACCCGAAGGAAAAAGACCACTAGGTCGGCCTCGCCTTCGCTGGAGGGATAACATCGAGAAGGACCTAAAAATAATGGAAGTCGATAACGCACTAGACCTAATGAACGACAGACAACAATGGAGGCGCATCGTCAAGTCGGCTAAGACCCACCCCGGGTTGTGAGCCACGTGGAGGAGCAGGAGGAGTCAACACTACAGAAGAGTTGAAGGATCATATATATTTAATATAAAAGGCTTGAGGTATACTTCAAAGAGTGCGCGAGAATATGAGGAAAAGAGCTGAAATGGGTATTCTTGAAGGTGGAACACACTTTTAACACTTTTATCTAGTTCCTACGTTATACTTTTTTTTTTCAAAAAAGTTGTTATTAATTTATTAACAGACCATTTTGCTAAACATTATTAACAGTAGGTAGCGTTTCTTTAATCAGAATCTTTTATTATTCATGGACATGGATTCATTCAAGGACAGTAACCAAAAACTAGATATTTTGTTTTAAATAGACATTTTCTTTTTCACAATAAATGGTTCTCGATTTAACTAGCGCAGGGACGACTTACTCTTAACATAAATGTTATTTGATTTCCTTAAAAAAGAAATAATGACGTTTGCATTCATCTATAAGCAGATTTGGTCTCTTAATATTTTTCGAGCCTGTCTGTTTCTCCGCACGCTGTCATATTAACGACATGGTTTTTATTTTTTAAGCGAGAACCGTACGTCAAATTGAAAAATATCAAAAAATTTAATTTCTTTAGAAACGACTGGAGATTGTAAGAATAATTTTTATTTTACGCAAGCCACTGGCCTATTTTTTAAAAAATACGAGCACAAATGTGCCAAATATCTAGGCGGTACTGCAGTTTTTTTTTTTTTTGTTTGAAACTCTACCGACCTGTTTCTCAAGAGTTAAGCTGTTTATTACATATTACATATGAAGCTTTCTTTTTAAAACCGAGCCAAAAATAGCCACCCCCCTAAAACATGCCGAAATCGGTATGGACGACGTCGCAGTTGTTCTGCTTCTCGGCACCGGCGGCCATGCTCAACTCGACCAGCGTGTCGACGCTGTTTATGCTAACTCCGCGCAGGATCTTCTGCGCGGCCAGGCTAGTGAAGTTGAACGACAGATCGCCGATGCTTGGAAACTCCTGCTTCTGCTCCCTTTCCTTGCAGCATATGTTCGGTTCCGACCCGATCGCGTTGTTCTTGTCGTTCTTCAGGTACATCCCGAGGCCGTCGTAGCTCTTGGTGGGGCTCGACGGGTACGAGTTCTTCGTGCTCGACTCCACGTTCTTGATCAGGTTGTGAAAATTCAACCCGTCCCTCGTAGGCAACTGCAGCGACATCTTCCGGTTGTTCATCGTGTCTTGGTTGGTGTTCTTCGTCGACTTAGGATCCTCCTTCGTCTCGTTTCCTCCGTTGACGATCACCAAGTTGGGCTTCTCCTCCTGGCCGTTGTCGAACGTGATGACCGATCTCACCGTCGGCGAGTTCTGCACGAATATCTTCGCGTTGCCCGCTTGGTTCGAGGACGTAGTCGTCGTTGTCACCTGCACAGTAAACTGTTGGTGCTCCTTCGCGTCGATCACCGTTTTGTGCGACTCGAGACTCGATGGTCCGCTCGTCGCGGAGCCTCCCTTATGAGACTCTATGCTGCTCGGGCCGCTGTTGTCTATGCTGGCAGCAGGTTCCTCGTAACGCTGACTAGCTTTCAGGGATTCGTAGATGTGCTCAGCGTTGGGAGGGCGTCCTCTGCTCCGGTCGCGACTTCTCACTCCTGGTTTTCTGGGCAGGGTGGACAACGGGGAAGAGTCCAGCGACGGATGGCGTTTGTGGCGACGCGGCAAACTGGAAGACCTGCTGCTCACTCTGCACGAGGTCTCCAGGTAGGCCTCTATGTCCAGCCCGGTGTCTTTCTCGTTACATGTCTGGGTGCCGACGCTGTGCAGGTGGACGGTCTTCGTGTTGAACCATTCCGTCGGAGGGAACTGGCCGCCGAAGGTCGCTATGTGACACTGGGAGCGTTTCGAGCGCCTGAACAGCCGCGACAGCAGCGACTCCTTCCTCGGGGTCGGCGTCGAGTCGCCGCTGTTTGGGTATTCGGTGCTGCTGCTCGTGTCGACGTAATGCTGCTGCTTGTGGATCGTCCTGGTGGACGCGGAGCGACGCAGGCGCCGGTTCGAGTTCCACAGTCTGAAGGAGCCGCGACGGTCGGGGCTTCTGGGAGCAGGGAACGAAGACGACCTCCTCTTGGTCCTCGGGTAGAGGATCTTGTCGCTCGCGTTGCCTGGAACGAAGAAGTCGAGGTTGATCGCTGTTGTTAGTGGTTAGAGTAGAATCACCTCCGCATATGACGTCGGCCAAGTTGGTCTGGATGCACTGGTGGGTGACATTGCCGTCGCGCAGCGTCGCCATGTCGCCGTGCACCATCGCCATCGCCTCCTCAGTCGACATGAGCATCGTTTTGCCCAAAGCGTCGGGATCCCTCTTCGTCCGCGACTGGCTCCGCGACCTCTTCTTCCTAAAGGGGATATTTGTAACTCTTCGATCGTCCACTAGCGATGTCTTACTCTGGCGTCACGATGTAGTAGCCGTTGGAGGTGTTGTACAGCTTCCGTTCCTTCGTAAGCTGGACGAGGGTGTCGTATATGGCCTGCTCGCCGGGCGGAGACACGTGCGGGAACGTCAGGATCAGGGCTTCCCGTATGGTCTCGATGCCCGCAGGTCTTCCTTGACTAGATAGCTTGAGGACTACGGCGCAGACGGCTTCCGGAAGGGGCGTCCATTGCGTCTGCGCGACGGGTGTCGCGCTGCAGTACTCGATGTCCTCTGCCAACGGTATCGAAAATATTTGAGTGTTAAAAAAATTTAAAAACTAATTTGAAACTAGGTTTGTAATGTTTTAAATGAATACATTTTTTAGATATTTCACTAACTTCTTGGGCACTAAGATGAACTAACGATTTTTTAATATTTTTTGTCAATAAAAACTTAAAAGATAATTGAACTGACGTGGCTTTTAGCTGATGAAAATCCATTTATCAAAATAGATAAGTTCAGATTTCCAAGAAATTATATATTTTCACATGACAATTGTTTCGACAGCACCGTGTTTTTATCAAAACATTTGATAAACTTATGATTTTTTAATATTTCTTGTTAATAGAAACTGTAAAGATAATTTCAAATTTTAGTTTTTAATGTTTTTTAATGGACATATTGAACGACCATCGGAGCCACTATCTTGGTCGAGTTTGTGGAGTTAAACTTTCTACGTACCCACAGCGATGATCTGATACCCTGGCGGAGGCTGCAGTACCCTTCTGGCCCACGCGTTCCGCAATACCTCCAGGGCGCAGGTCTCCGCCCCGACGAGCAGAGCTCCAGGGTTGACGTATCCATAGTACACCAGGTTCTGGGTGGCTCCGTTTAGGGCGTTGTTCCACCAGCATACGGAATTCGAAGAGAGAAGGCCCTGGAAAGGAATGAAAAATAAGTCGCGTTACATATGTACTTTATTTGTGTAGGAGAATAGTAGCCCACACTACAGCCTCAGAAGGACCATAGTGGTTGTGCTACTCAAACCCAGTTGGGCAATGGTTTCGTTTGGATAGCCCAATAGCTTGGTAGAAAGCCAATAGGTCATCCCAATGTATTTGTAACACTTGTTCGAACGTGCTGACTTTTACCCCGTCATTTTGTTGGTTTCTTCAGAGCTTAACTGAAAGGTAAGCTAAAGGAGGGACATTGGAGCGACAAGGAGTTGTGGTTAAGATTCTTTGGTAGGTTAGATCAGATGCAATAATTTTAGTTTCTTTGTTAGTTTAGTGTAATCGGCAACTGCTGGTGGGTGTATTTGTCGTAGTCTTAAGTCTAAGCATGTTCTAAGCATGCCCAGAATACTGCAAACTCTTGGTATCTTAAACGGAATTTTGTCTTTTTATTAGTAAAAGTATCTTCAATGTGGAAATTATTTGAGAGAATGCAGGCCACATGTGGTTAATCAGTGATTTGAGATTGGATGGTTTTACCTCGCTGTTAACAAAGGAGGAGGATAATCGATTATTTTTTTGCCCGATGATGATATGGCAATCCATAAGGGTATGGGCCTGTGTGTGAAGGTTTTTTGCATGACCCAATGTTCTTCTCATACATTGGTATATATGATCTATCTACGTAGTTGCAGGTTTTGAAAACCATACTGCATTGGTCTTTGTGGGCATCTCTTCTCTCCCATTTTTCTGTCCTGTAACATCCCTGAAGTGCTCGCATCCTTTATATTCACCGCGCCATTCTCAGAAAGTCCATCTTCACTGCGTCGACCATGCTTCTTCTTTCTTCTGATGTACTTAACTTACTCTCTTGCTTTATCGAACTCTGCTGTGTATATCTCTCTTGTAGTTTCCTTTTTCTAAATACCCGTGCTCTCCACCTTTTAATTCAGTTCAAGATCTTCAGTTTGTCCCTCTGCCGCTTTAGTTCATGCAATGTTAATACTAGGTCACCATTTTTGATCACTTTCCTCAAGTTCCAGTTTTCTTCTCCAGGTTTTCAATGTTTGCTGCAGACTCATCTAAGTCACTTTAAATGCCAGGAAGGATTCCAATAGGAACTTCGTCTGTCTTATCACACTTCCAGATTGCATTTGTGAGATAGGCATGGATCTACGAAACTTCTGGATTTCTCCTGCGTCGGTTTTTGTTGAGTCGAACTTGCTGACGTTTCGCCAATAATCCTGTTGGCTTCTTGAGAGCTTGACTGAAACTGGCTCGCATTTTACTCTGTACTTACCTGTATATTGTTTGAGGAGGGCGGAGTTAAATGAGGGGATTTCGATTTTCAATGCGATAAATATCTAATGCTGAAGTTTTTAGACCACGAAGGTGACGGTTACCTTAATTACAGTTAACTTAATTTTAGAGTTAAGTCAATTCACAGAATTAGAAGTTGTATTTTTCAGCAGATTGGATATTAAGAATGTATTTTAATCGAGTTCCTAGTTCTCCAAAAACTTGCACGTGTATCTGTGATTCATTAGTTTAAAAAGAAAGAATATTTATTTTTAAATATATTTCCCATAAAATCGAAGTAATTATGAATTTATTAAACCACGGAAGTTAAATTATTTAATATTCAAAAATCCTGGCTTTTTCAGCACGTCACGACCGTTCTCTGTATTTCAATAATTGCGAGTTTCACCGATGACAACGGACAAGAATTAACGACAGGTTATTGCCGTTCGATTATCTACTTAGCCCGCAGCGGAACTTTCCAGGAGATTATCCAATTCAGTTATCTACGATCGCTATCGGCCTTTAATATCGCGACCGCTACCATAATGGGGGACCAATTTTGACCATAGTAAAGAACGTGAGCTTTGTATGGAAAAAAAATCTTTCTAGACAAAAAATGGAATCGATTTTTACTGATTACACAGGACTGCAAAGTTAAACTTTTTGACGGATGTTTTTATTTTGAACACTGATTTTATATAATTTTGGTAGCCTGATTTTTTGTATCCTTTGAAGGGTAAGGGTGAGATTGGAATCAACGGAACAGATATATTGATTGATTACGACCATTCAGTTTTATTAGAAATTGATGTTCACAAATGTAATCATTAAATTAAAACAAATGCCACCAAGGAATATCTCCACTCATGATTACATATTGTAATCCTTTCAATGAAAAATATGTCTACAGATAACTGTATAATGTCACTTGGAAAACAGCTGAACACAACACCATAACAGCTCTAATAACTTAGGAATAATTACTTTTGATTCTCTTACACTAAAAGCATTGTTTTTTTAACTAAAATTTGCTTTTATATTTTATTATCCTCCAATTTTTGGTCTGTCTGTTTGGTCTGTTACGTATTACGTTTTCATACCTACGAGATTGGCGTCAAAATTTCCCGGCCTTCTTTTAAATATTTATCTTAGTAGGCTGCAAAAAAATTGAAGTCTTGCGTCAAATAGTTTTTTATTGACAGCATTTTAAACAAGACGTGTCAGAAAAAATGTCGCAAATGACGCAAATTGAGTATGAGACTGGATGGTGTGTACGGTCAAAATTCCCCTTCGTATTCTGTAGTGAAGGAATGAGCAAAACGTTTTCGAATGGGGCAGGAGTCCCTTGAAGATGATTCAACCAGTCGACCAGTGGAGGTCATAACGGAAGATATTGTTGCGATTGTGGAAGAGGTGGTATTGAGTGATCGACGTTTAAAGGTCAAGGAAATCTCAGAAATTACTACGGTTTCTGATACAAGTGTTCGTCCAATCCTGCGTGATCATTTAGGTAGATAAATTGCGAGACTGCATACGTGTAAAACGGCCAGGAAAACTGACCAGGGGCGTGCGTCTTTTGCATGACAATGCACCTGTCCATACTGCTGGTGTTGCACAAGCTGACATTTTAGAGTGTGGGTTCCAACAGATAGATCATCCGCTCTATAGTCCAGATGTGGCCCCCAGCGACTATTATTTGTTTGGATATTTGAAAAAGGACTTACGTGGACGGCGGTTTAACGACGAACTTGAGTTAAACGAGGCTGTTTTAGCTCATTTTGCAGACAAACCAAAAGAATATTTTTAAAATAATAAAAAATTGTTACTCTACTTTGTTTCTTTCATATTCGGGCCGGGAAATTTTGGCGCTGCCCTCGTATTTATTGTAAATTGCATATAGCTTATACTTTTTTTTATAGTTAGACGTGGTATATACCACAAATAAACGATCTATATACCTGCTGGCCACATGAAATATTAAATGCACCATATTAAACATGTTACCAGCTTTGGCCCAGGAATTTTTGGTATAAACGAAGTTTGTTTCTCATCAATGATTATTCAATTGTTATTCAACGTATCGGCTGTACGTAATATGGAAGTACAATTATTCTCATATCAATAAATTATTAATAAATTTTAACCATGCTTGGTTTATAATTATAATTTTTAAGACGTCAATTGGCGTTAAAAATTCTGATTGCGTGAGACAGACGTGACATCAATGTAGTTCTGTGCATTACGACCTTGGAGAGGCCTTTTTTTCGAGAGCGGATGGGGCCCATCATTTCCGCAATCTTTGCGACCGAAACCCATCAGAAATATCCATTTAAGCGAAATATGATTGCAGTATAAAAAGATGTGTATAAGAAAATGCTGTCGAATATAAAATTAATTCGATTACATTCAACCAATCTGGTAGCACAAAATGTCTACTAAATATAGTGTAAATACTCAGATGTTAAAAATTCGCAAATTTTACTTAATTACTCTTAAACAGATAAAATGTCTGCCTTTCATTCTTTTATCCCCACGCTTATAACAATGGCCACGATCGCGCCTTGATGGAAAAGATTATAACTAAAAAATCCGTTTTAAATAAATCTGGACTGGACTGGAGTGGACAGAGAGGGACGTTATGTGCTGAAATGACTTCCTCAAGAATGTCGAGGTATAGTCTGTTCATAGATATAAGAAAGTGACCAATTTCTTTTGAATGGGATTATCCAAGGGTGGTCATTAACATACAATGCAACAAGATTATTACCCAAAGTTTCGGAATTTAAATTCAGGTAAAGTTGTGGTCCGTAATAGAAAATAATTTTATACCTACCTGTGTTTAATATTCCTTAGTTTGGTATACTACTTAGTTTAAGTTTATTAGTAATCATTCTTATTTCGTGTGTAATACAGCGTGTGTTGAATCGTGTGCGAATTATGCAAAATATGTGCGAGTCTAGTGTATCTCAGGAGATGCTCCTGCCCAAATGTAGAAAACACTATTCTATTGAGACTAAGGAATTTATAAACAATGTTTATTTGACACTCGTTGAAGGTGGTGCCAATAACATCAACTGTATGGAAAATTGTGAAAAATCCCATTTAAGCGAGGAAAAAAAGAAGCGATGCTGACAAACAAACGAGCAATCAAAACGAGGTAAAAGAATAACTATTTTGCATGCTGGCTCTAAAGATGGTTGGATTCCAAATGGACTTTCTCTGTCTGCGAAAATTATTAAAGGTTCTTCTCTGGATTGCCATGAAGACACCACCGCTGATTTACTTGAAAGTTGGTTTAAAAACAAACTAGTTAAAAAACATTCCTCCTAAGAGCGTCATTGTAATGGACAATGCAAGTTATCACAGTAGACAGTTTACCAAAACCCCTTCCTCATGTGACACAAAAGCAACAATCCAAAATTATATGTATAATAACGACATTTATTTTCAAGATTATCGGATACCCCCTATATTGTTTTGGCAAATAAAACATTTATTTATATATTATTATTATTAACGTTGGCAAGAACGATTTAGATTCCAGGCGGCGTTGAAAACATTGAGACTTTCCTTGTATAACGAAAGCAGAGAAAAAAAATTAGACGCCGAATTCTAATTCGCCAGTTAATAATTGAAAATGAAGCCGTTGAAAAACGAACTCTGTATGTTTGCGCGCAGAACCGTAAAGTCGAATTATCGTCACTTTTATGGCAAATAAAAGGCAGTAAAAAGGTCGATTAACGCGGCAATTGAAAGAGATTGATTGGGCGTAATTCAATTTGGATCGGGATTTGATTCGCGTGCCTAATTTTGATTTTAAAAAATGCCGAGTATTATACAGGGGGTTTCCTAATATTCAATGTCAATAATTAACAGGGCCATTTTTGGGTCCATTTTAAAAAGAAAACTCCATATGAACGTCTCAACTTATGAGATACAGGGTGCTAAATTTATGAAAAATAAAATATATTTTTTTGAAATTTGGCAAATATGTACTATGTATCAAGAGGCATTATTTAGTTTACCACAATTTTTTTAAAATACACCAGTGCAGGGTGTACGGAATTTTAGCGCTCTATTTTGGCAGACTTTGATGGTACACCACTGATATATATTATTTTTGAAACCTTTACCTCTCCGTATCTGAAAAATTAAGACCTGCACCTATGTTTTCTATGCCGAACACCGTGTACAATATGTGAAAACGTCAAATAGAAAAATTAGAGCCATCTAAACAGGTTAAACTGATACATCGTCTTCTAGTCATGACCTTAAAAGACCTTAGAAGAATAACTCATTTTTCAGTTTTTTTTCACTCTGTACGTTTTTAAAAAGTCATCAGGAGTAAAAGTTATTAGCTCAGATCTCGCGCGTCTACTAGTTTCAGAATTGCAAATGCGGTTTTTCATTTTTTTAAATACTTCCCGACCCCCCAGCCCCCCCCCCCCTTAATATCTTTGTAGATCCAAACTCCACGAGCGTCCCAAATTTCAAATCGACAGCTTCAAATTTTGGACACTTATTCGGATTCATGGACGTTCGAAAAACGTCACTGTCCGATCGCGTCCATTTCTTATATGCCAGCTTTTTAGTGGGTCGCCCTGTATATCCGCTAGCGATAGAGTTTCCTTTCAGTGACTGTTGTAGATTAAAAATTATAATAATCATTCATAATAATATTTCTGAGGATCTAAAAAGATTAACTTCTTTTTTCTATATCCATTTTGTTCTTCAGGTTGCTTTTGCTGTTTTCCCTTTCTCAAGTCTATTCCACCTGAAAGATTATCCTCAAACTGCCCTGATAATTGCCAAATCGGTGATTTGAAACCAACCTTCTTCTTCTTATTTTTCTTTCTACCTTTTTGGGCAGATCAGCAAAGGACACTCACCCACCTAAGTTGTGTCTTCTTGTTTTGAAATGACGTCTTTATTTTGCGAGCTTGGAACTGTCATTATCGACATCGTAACCTCGCAATTATACTAAATTATCCGCTCTGCGGAACGTTTTCGAAGAAAGTTCCGCAATTTACGCGACATAACTGTCCGATAAATTGCGCGAGGTTTGATTTGTTTCGACACACTTTTGACGAGACCCGTATACGTCGGCTTTTTCTTTTTTACCTTTTAATGACTATATGCAACCAGTAAATCGTTAAAATGTGACAGTTCTATTGCTTGTACCAGTAAATTTTAATTTCGAAGTGGGGATGTTAAAATTTTGGAAATGTCCTTAGGGAAACCTAAGTCATTAAGTAACGTATGTAACACAAAAAACAGAGTTTGTTTTAGCAGCTTTTATAATCAACATTTTGCCAGAAAACGTTCTATTTCTTTCCTATATAAATACCCCCATAAAGAATTGAATTTTATTTGACAAAAAGTAATTAATCGTTTTTCCTATGTGGAATGGGGCATATATTAAGTGTAACTATGCAAAGTTGGGAACCTTATTCCCTTATAAAGGCGGAGTCAACAATAGATTAAAGTTTGTTTCATTAGCCATTATTTTCAGTGGTAGATCACTCATATTTAATATAAGCGAATATGACGTAATAGCTTCACGCAAACTAATTGAAAATAAACCAATATATTTGCATTATTTTAAATTGAAAAACTATCGATTTTCTTAAATGGGACACAGTATATATTATTATTTTTTCTAAAATATTTTAGGTCTTACTAACTACTTACTTACGTACTTACTGACTACTCACTCATTATATGAATCATATTAATTAATTCAGCTTTGAAAAAATCCATAGTTCCATCCATCCATTCATAAAAGTTGTCGGTTTTTGTAAGATGTTCTGAAAGAGCAATAATACGAATTGTGTTCAAAAAGCAAGGTGACTTTCAAGTTTTATCAAGTATATTAAGTTTTAGTAAGTATTTATTTCTTCATCAAAGTTAATATTGTCTCTTTCAAAGTAATCCCCCCTCCCCACCGGATATAATACACTTGTGCCAACCACTTCTGGTAAGCACTTTCTAATATAGCCCTGGGTGCTTCCAGTCATTTTTTCTTCTCCTCAGTCGTTCAAAACATCCGTCCTTTCATGGGTTTCGGGAAAAAGTCGTAGGGGGTCAAACTCCAATTATTATTGACCGTACACCCTTGTAGTAAGAACTCTTGACGTACTACGCCACGACAATCAAAGAAAACAAAAGGAAAAGGCTAAAACTCACTCGACATTTTAATAAACTTGCTTGACGATTCTGGGGCCCTGGTTTCGACGTCATAACCATATATCTATGATTCGTCACCAGTTGTGACCTTTTTGGGCATATGAGGATCATAATTGACGTCGTAGCTACGCTATGACAAGTTTCATGCCCAATAGACATGCCGAAGTCTTCATCCACTTATCTAATAGTGAATCGACGATTTTTGAACACCATTTGTTTCACTTCTTCAACGCTTTCATCAATTATTGAAGTGCTGGGACGTCCAGAGCGAGGTCAGTTGTCCGTGTCTTCTCGGCCATCTTGGAACAGTAACATTTTTTTTTGTTCAAAGTAGGTGCACCATATGCCGTTGCCAACATTTCAAGTGTTTTGCAGCACTGTATTTTATGTTTTACACCAAATTTTATGCTTTTTTTTGACAGCGGAAAATCGCCGTGCACACAAAACACGTCTAACGAACAACAATCGAAGATTGAATGTACGTAGACCGCCCAATTACAAAAGCCATCTTACTTTTTGAATACACCTCGTATATATCGCATCCCTGCTTTAAAAGTCACGCAACTCAAAAATTGCGACTTTTGAGCTAATAATATCAGCGTATAGAGGAGAAACGCTTTATTTCTCAACAAAACCGTATTAAATTAACTTAATAGGTTGTCCGCTAGATGACGCAAGTGTCATTTTTATGCAAAACCGCCCTATTATTAATTTTAGGTGCGTAAAGACTCGTCAAAAGTGTTTAAGTGTGTAAGTACAAATTGTCAGATGATTATATTTGTTTCTTTCTCAAATTTGACTAATTTTTTATTAACTGATTTTCTTCATAAGCCGTTAATTAAACAAAAAATCTTTTGTCGGTGACACACAAAAGGGTTTAAAATTTTTGAACTAGTTCATTAAATAATTTAATTAATTTTTTAAAGAAATCACCACACATTTTTTGCGGGCTATTTACCCAATTAGTGTTGATTAGTGTTTAAAGTCAAGAATTTTAGCTATTTTGATAAAATACGTCTGAAAGGTAAAAGTTTGTTTTCAGGGATTTAGAAACCATGAAGTCGTATAGGCAACAAATCTCAAGGAAGCAAATCTCAAGCGTTAGGGAACCTAACCTAAGTTAGTTAACTTGCTAATATAATATTTGTTTCTCCTAGAAGATGCTAGCAGAGGAGTTTGTTAGGTTATTTCGGAATATTGTATATTGTATTGAGTGATATTCACAGACTAAGCAACGAAATTGATGTAGAAGATTCCGGTACTGATCCCACTTTTGTTATTGCTAATCCCTTTTACCCAGGCACTGATTCTGATGCTATTAGTGCAATAAGATTCCAAAACATCGTTACTCGAGTACTCAAAATCATATGCGAATAAATTCAGCTTTTTATTTTGATATGGACGATGAATTGGATGAAAAAGCAACTTTGGATATTACGCTCACCTGAAAGAGTAGGTATCCATTTTCGTACATCCAGAAGTCGCCCGGATCTCTTTGGCACCCCTCCTTCCTCACTATTATCGCCAGGATTTCGTTCAGCCGTATTCGGCAATTCTGTACGCCATCTTGCCGGCTCGAAGTCATTTTCAGGTGATCATTCTGAAATTGAAAACGTCGAGATTGTACTTCGCGCCGCGTCATTCGCTTCAATATGGCGCTTGAGAAAAAAAAAACGAGTTCCTATTCACTAATAAGAGTAAACATCGTTCCTCGTTAAGAGGACAAATAAACCTTGTATTGCACCTGACTAAACATCTGACCGTGGACGGAAGACTTTCCGATCACGTGGGTACCGTATTTCTGACGGCCGTGCCCCAGTTGAGCAGAGGAATTATGATTATTGTGATTTTCTATCGACATTTCGCGTAGTGCCCTTTTATGGCGAACGAGTCGAGAATATAGCACCGCGTAACAGAATACCGAACAAAAATCACAGAAATTAGTTTCATAAATATTTATTTTAATTTCGTGTGAACAAAATTCGTCTCCATAAACTAATAAGGCAAAATAGATGAGTGGGGGTCATCCGCGCAAAGCTCGAAGATCGAAGTACGGGAAAACTCGCTTTAAAATCAATAAATTTTGTGTTTCAATAGTTTCCAATATTCATCTCAGTTTGCCGAAATAATTTAAAAAATTTTGATTTTAGTTTTTCTTTTTCAGAAATATTTTATCTGACCCAAAAATTAAACATACTGTTTGGAAGACAATTTAATATGCCTTAGTATGAGTTCAAATTTGCCAAGAGTGCTGATCTTTATATGCGTAGCTACGATTAAACAAATGAGACGCGTTCATGCAATACTCATAGTGATAGTAACAAACTTGTTCCAGACTTCAATTAATCGCCTTTGCATCTGGAATTTTCACATCATTCGTTTTTAACGATTTGGACAGCTTTTAATTCTGTTAGCTTGATGACTACACCGCAAGAAGCTGCTCAAGTGAACTTCGAAATCGACAGTTCGCATAGTATGCCACGGTATCCTTTGCTAACCGCTCTGGAACATCAACAACGGCTCGTGATGACAGCTTTTTTGTGTCAACAATACCAAGAAATCGTCACCTTAATGCGGTTCGAGTGCAACAACAGTTCTATTAAATTCGAAGAGTGGCTACTAGTCAGGGAACAGTGAGAAGAAGACTGAAAGGAAATAACCTGACTCCAAAAACACTACGATTGATCCAAAACTTACTCCAGCTCCTCGCGCTTTGCACGAGATCATCTGAAGTGGACGTTGGACCAATGGGGGTCTGTTCTGTTCTCAGATGAGACCTGAATATGCCTTTTCGGAAGTGACCGACGAAAAAAAGCGTAAGGAAGACCAGGAAAGCGATTTGCAGAATGCTGTAAGAGTGGAGTCCTTATGTGGTACCATATATCGGCTACATTGGAAAATAATTCAATTTTATGCATGACAATGACATAACATTACAGAAGTCGGTTTTCGAGCTAGACTTCGTACCCCAACTTCGATTACGAGTGGCTCAACATTCCACAAGAAACAATATTGAGCTTAATTAAGTCTATGCCTAATCGAGTAGACGTGTTATTAAGGCAAGAGGAGGCATATCCGCTATTAAAAAATAAGCGTTGAGTTGCTAAATCTATTTGTTTTTAATAAAAAAAATTTTTTACAGATAATCGAACACACTATACCTATTCCCATTTTTGACCGATATTACAGAGATTTCTTTTATCGATTACAAGTTTTACACTTCTAAACTTTAATATTCTGTGGTTTCACTTGCACGCAAAACCAAAGCAGACTCCGCCTGGCCTGGACTAATTGTCAGGTTTCTAATTCTTCTCGTCGGATGGCAGCGCCTTCAATAACCCGGTAATAATCTACGGCAAGCACGCAAATTACCCACGAAAAGTCAATCCAGTTTCACATTCTTTCGTCGAAGAAAGCGAGTCTTCCGCGAGAGAAAGAGAGAGAGACACAGTCGAGGGCGTTCGAGCAGCGCGCTCCCTACATGCGAGAAGACAATTCTCACACTTTCCCTTGTCCGGTGTAACACATGTGACTGTTTCGGAAACCCCACGGGCTGATTTATGGCGCGGCGGCCCGGGGCACTCGCCCATGTCACACACCAAGTAGAAATTTAACGGGTTATGAAAAAAAAAAATGCAAAACTTTAAAATACATATTACGTTTAACTTTTTGTTATCAGAAGTCGATTTTTTAAAAATAAGTCTTTTTCAGACACTAGAATATTATGAATTCGAAGTCCGACGCCAAAATGACAAATGCCATAAAATTCAACACAGCGGAAGCAATTTGTTCTTTACCCAGGTATAATTTTTATTTTTTTAGCTAAACTTTCTGTTAAATGAAATACAAATGACCAAATTGCCGCTGACGCTGAATTTTGACAGTTACCGAGTATCGCTGGTTGCCTAACGTTAATGTTTCGAAATGTGGGCGATCGAGCGCCACCAAGCGGATCGCGGAAGAAACGTAAACGAGATGACGGCGAATCGAGAAAACCGGATCTGCTCCGAGGCAAACGATCAAGCTGGAAGCGTGGCGAAACGACGACGGGCTTCCTACATACGGCCGGTAACGCAGATCTCTACGGGTCGATACGACCTTAAACACATTCGATTAACGCATGGAAAAAATGAATTTGTCTCGCGGCGACCTCATGTATAGTAAGCGGCCCCTTTCTTCCGTTACGCGGTCTTAAAACGCCCACGTGAGCCGGAGAGTTGGAAATATATACGGGCTGCGTCGCAAATACGCCTCGTTCTGTCGGTAGCGAGCCGGAAAATAGAGAAAAAGTGTTATTTTTTATATCAATAATAATTATAGTAAGTTCATTAAAAAAAAAGTATGATAAAAGCAAAATAACATATATATCACGTTCAATTGCATGTCCAAAAATAGAGAAAAAGTATTATTTTTGATGTTTATAATAATAATAAATTAGCTACATAAAAAACATTGTAGTAAAAGCAAAATAACATATATGTCACAAGTGGAAAAAAACTATTATTTTTGATATTAATAATAATAATAATAATAATAATAATAATAATAATAATAATAGAATGACTATATAAAAAACATATAGTAAAAGCCAGACAACATATATGTCACGTTATATCTATTGCAAGTTCAAAAATAGAGAAAATGTGCTAGTCTTGTTAATAATAATAATAATAATAATAATAATCACTAAAATAATAATAATAAAAAATATTATTTAATTAAATATGAAATTAATTTTTGCTTTTTTGGATATTACAGATGAAATGTATATATTTATATAAAATGAACATCTCTTATAAAGGCGGCATTGGTTGACATTGGGAAGGAATAAATAAATACTGTTGTAAAGAATAGTATATGCACATTAATTTTAATTTTAGGTTTTCATCGCATTAAAAATTTAAGTTCACTTGAGATGACACCAATTTCGTTTGTACAGCTTATTTGAAAATTCTAAGTATAAACTTTACTTTCACAGTTTTTTTCCAGTATATAGATTATGTATTTAAGCACATTCTTGGCAGTTAATGTAAACAATTTTAAAGTATTTATAAAATTACCCTAGTCAATTATTTTATACTAAAAAAAAGATGGGTATATTATGTTTTCTGGTATAACAACATTGCTGCTCTCATCAATTATTCAATCAAATTATTAGTTGGTAATGTTAACAATTTGAATGTCTACAAAGTTTTCCACTCAAAAATCTTATTTAGTAGATTTAGCAAAGATTTTCAAAATTCGTTTTAAACACACTGAGGACTTTTGGAGCAAACTTCAAAAAACTGGGTAAGCCCAATTTAAGATCATTTTTGACAAAAGGACCTGTCAACTGTTCGTAGAGGTAATGGTGACGTCACTTGCAAGCAACCTATAAATTACAAAATATTTCAGAAGATTTTATGGGCAATTTTACTAATTTCGAAGGAGAAACTTCCAAAACATTTTCATTTTCTCATCTGCATTTTGAAACATACGTTTACAGATAATAAATAACAATAATAAAGTTGAATACTTTAAAATAATTTTAGACTGTGCATCCTAATAATCTCTGTTCTCATAAGTTTTAAAAGCAACTAGATAATGATGGCGATTCTATATCTGTTGACCACCTGCCAAGGGCATCGCGACTAAATCTCCTCGAAATGTCATCTCTCCGTCTATTTGTAGGTTATGATTTCGTCGTATTTTCAATGCGGAGATCGTTTCTTTTAAATTACTACGCGGAACATGACGGAGGTTGGCCGTAAAACGCGTCAATCTTGCCTTTATATAATTATATTGCCGTCGTTCATTTCAATTTTCATTTAAATCTTCACGGTTAAACGCGGGAACGGCATTCCGACGCGTATGTCGCAATGGGCGCGTTTTTCAAGCCGCACCCGTATCCAAAACTAACCAAAACTAGATAATTTTGTTTAGTTAATCGACTCATTTTAAGTTGTCATACGCCATAGGATATTTTAAACTTGAAAGTATTCATTTTGCGGTAGACTTTAGCCAGAGTTGGTGAGATAGTAAATTGCTTTTTTGATTGTAAAGCTTTCGTTCCGGATTCCATATGCCTAAGATTTTTTCGGTAGGATTTGATCGCATGCTCAATCACGATCCAAATCGGCGCCCATAAACTTTACGAAATGAACTTATAGGCACTTGGTGGCCATGGTGCGACTACTGGAAGACCCCCCAGCATACCCTGTTCCAGCTGGCGAACGTGTGCTTCGTGTTGGCGTATTCGTCGACGTGTTCCAAGAAGGGAGTCCTGTTCATGCACTGCTGGTTGATACTGGGTTAGTTACCGTTTCCAAAATAACTGTGATCGACTGTTTGACCCTTTTCCAGGCCTGATGCTGTTCTCCACGTAGGCGTGGAACATCATCTGTGCCCCGGACGTGTTCACGTGGAACTTCGCCTTCATGCTGATCAACATGGCGCAGGTTTTCCACATCCTGTACCAGCTCAGACCGGTCACGTTCGATCCCGAATTAGAGGAAGTGTACCACACGTTGTTCGAACCTTTCAAGCTGGCCCGTCTTCAGTTCAAAAGGATGGGGGCCCGGATTTCGCGCAGATCATGCACGCGGGCGAAGCATACGCGGTGCAGAATTTAACCAGGACTGACCGGCTCGGACTGCTGCTGTCAGGAAAGGTCAGTGAAGTTTCAATTTCGATAGATACCACATAGGACGTAGGGCCAATCCATATAATCCATTTCGTCCTATTCCGTGGATGTCGAACCAGATTTAGATTATTCGCCACTCATCGAGAGGTGGCAGCACAGTCTAGATTTTGCGGTTTTGAGCCTCACGCGTCAGGTATATTATATATGCGTTTAATCGGAAAAAATAGGAAATTTTTATATACTTTCAAAGAGTGCCGTGACTGATAAATATAAATATTTTAATGTTTGACATATCAGTAAACAACGTTGATGGTTGAACTATTGTGCAAGTCATTGTCAAAATGGTTTTTCGTGAATTTAGTATCCGTGAAAAGAATGATATGCTTCCTAATTTCTGAATAATACAAGTGCATATACAAAATACAAAACATATATCCGAGGCTGGCAAAGAAAGTTGGGGAAAACGCTATCCTATTAAGTGCTAAAAATAAAGCAAACATATTAGAATTCTATGAAGCACATCCAGATTCCTCTATTGCTAGAGTATATGAAGAGACAGGTGTTTCTCGGGGATTAATCCACTCAGATTTGAAAGAATTTAAATATAATCCATTTAATTTTTCAAAGAAACTTCCACAGGCTTCTGTTATACTTCCTGTTGGCTTCTTCAGAGCTTGACTGAAACTGGCTTGCATTTTACTCCGTACCTGCTTTTATATTGTTTGAGGGGGCTGAGCTAAATGAGGGACATAAACACCATCTTGTATGACCATATTGGTGGCAGGTAAAGACTTGAGTCGCGGTTAAGATTGTTATGTTGCTTATAGATTTCTATATACTCTCGGATTTTTCGTTGGTTAGTTTTTAATACCTTTTACAACAAATACCCTTTCGACCACCCACCTATTTTTATATTTACGTTTTCTGTATGTATGTTTTTATGTATGTATGTATGTTATGGCGTACAGAGTATAACCTAAAACGAGTAGTAGCAATATTTCAACAAATTAAATGCATAATAAATTTGTGTGTAATCAATAGGAATTTTTATATATCTTTTCAGCTCCGGTAGTAACAGAATAACAATAAAAAAATAATAAAATCTCGTTATCGGTTGCTTTTGGCAAAATGATCCTAGCTGAAGTGGCCAATAGAAGTAAAGAAGAAGACGTGGCTTCGTAGACGCGAACGGCAGCCAACAATACAAGCGTGCGAATGTGCAACGAACTGGCAATACCGGCCAGACACGTAAACATGCTTACGAAACCGCGTTTTTATAATGCACCGACAAAAATAATTAATATATTATTGGCGCTCGCAGACCGTGAACTAGAACGTCCTTGAGAACGTCTTTCGATTGCGATTTATGCAAAATGAGCGCGATTCGAATACGCAAACAAGTGTCAAATTTAACACAGGTGGTCTGTCACCGTACCGGTAATGTTGCCTGTGACCTCGACCATGGATCAAAGCAAGAGGGCCGCTCACCGGGCACAGAGGAATCTATGAAATTAAGGACACTTCTATGCCTGTATAAAGGGGACAAAACCAAATAAGACTTTTTCACCAACAAAGATACATATTCCACGAATCTAAGTCTACAATCAAATATAACAGCAAAGCTTTAATTACAATTCACAGTTTTCACAGAACCTTGCGGCACACCACATGAAACATGAAAAAGGCTTTAGAGTAATCGAAAGATATAAGTGCCGTCGCAAGACCATTATCTAAAGAAGTAATAATGTGATCGTTATGTGTAAATGTAGACTAATAGTACTAAAACCTTTACGAAATTGGACGAAGGTCAGAGAACTGGCTCTGATTGTTATTTTTTGCCAATGGTGTGATCAAAGCAATTACCAGGAAAATAGCCTACTTCCGAAGAGCAATTAATAATAAGTGTAACGTAAGCATTCTAGCAGGTACACAATCAACACCAGCAGAATTTGACTTAAAGCTTGAAATGACGGCTTTAATTGAGTCAATAGTTCCGAGTTTAAATGCAAATGATAAATTCGAGTTCGACTTACGAAGCTGGATATTTTGCTAGGGAATGTATTTGAACGGTTCGTGAATCTTTCGCGTCAAACCCGAATTCATGCCCTCTCTTTTTATTATTTTTCGCACAGTTTGTCCCAAAAACGTAATAATTACCGTCGGTTATGAAAAGGCGAAAAAGGGAATGACGTATGTCACGCGATCATCTCTAATCGCTCTCATCTCAAACGGCTAATTGAACAAATTGCAAAGCACGTGTTTTTTGCACAGTTTAGTGAATAAACAAGCCGTAATTATAGCCTTACGCAACAAGAGATTATTTTACTGGTAATTGCGGAAGAAGCCACGCAATCGGCAGCATAATGAGAGTCGAATGAAACGTCAGCCCTTTCTTGTCAGTTTGGCGAAAAATTAGCACTACTACAATTGAATTATGAAATTTTTTATTTACCTCAGTTCGTTCTTGGTAATGGTTATAAATATTATACAGGGTATGAGTAATACCATATGAAAGCAACCAACCATAATAATAATAATACATAATATAACAATCAGTTTATTTATCAACCAATATCAGCCACAATATCACGACTACAATATAACGCTATTCATACTAATTCCCGTAAATACAAAACCAAAAAAAATAAACGTTAAAAAAATAAAACAAAAGATTATTAGTAGAAGCGGGAGTAAAATAATTACGATTAATTGATAAATAATAATTCGCATTTATTTTGATATTCAGTTCTTGAAAGTCTGGGAGAGAGTCGGAATAACATCCAAAAGGCACAAAATTAGTCTTTTCGTAATTGACGGTAAAGAGATGGCTAGTCAACCATTTAAATGTATGCTGTAGGTCATGTTCTGCTTTTTAAGTGCTTGCCAGGATTTATCTCTGTAGATTATGGCAAAGTCGTCTGCAAAGCATATTGATTCTCCAACAGATTTTATGTTAAATAAATTATTAAAATAAAGTACGAACAATACCGGGGCCAAAACTGTCCCTTGGGGAACGCCAAACTCTACATTTGCTTCTTTACTAACCACATTTCCTACTTCAACTTTCTGCCCTCTCCAAGATTTCAATTAATTTGTGATGATCAACCGTATCAAACGCCTAAGCCAAATCAACAAAAACGCACGGTACTTTTTCTCCATGATTTGCTTATATTTGTTATAAGTTTGACTAAGACATCCTCTGTTGAAAGTCCATCCTGAAATCCAAATTGATTTTCACACAAAATATTCAATTTTTTCAAAAATTTCATTAACCTATTTTTAAAATTTTTGTCTATTATTTTACTAATACTGTTTGGAGACTAACTTTTTATTTCCGGATTTATATATGGGATTGTTTCAAAAGATTCATTTATAAGGTAGGTGATAGGTGGTGTTAGAAATTTTTTGTATACTTTAAAAGTTTCGCTTTTGATTTGGCCATCGCCACTAGTTGTGCCACTTTTCAGAATTGCCACTTTGCAAACCTACAATTTTTTAAAATTGTATTTTTTAAGTTTTATTTAAATATACATTTTATTTCTTTAAAATTGTATAGTCTGCCTCAATCCCCCCAGAAACCGTAAAATTTTAATTAAAATTGAAATAAATTTTACCGTTTTGTAGTTATCGATATTTATTTCCCTCACCACCAGCGTCTAACGAATAAGTTTTCACTCTCAGTGTCACTAATATGAGGATAATTGGGCGGCACCTCAAAAATATTTTGCAGCATTTTATCTCGGCCGAGTTACTGAAAATCTGGCAGTACGGGACACCCTGTATATGACGGAGAATGCGTCTCTAGCGTGGTCAATTTATTCGTCGAATGTCGAAACGAACGTTCACGCATTTGGAGTGGTAATTGCGTTATTTGTTTTCTCATCATATGCCGAGCCATTATGTTTTACTCCGATGAGCGTAATTTCATGTCGTATATATATCTATACGAGGTGTGTTCAAAAAGTAAGGCGATGTTTAAGTTTTATCGAAAAGTATTTATTCATTTATCAACATTAATGTTGTCCCCTTCAAAATAACAAGGTAATACCCTTTATTGCCCGTACGACCTTCTGGTAAGAACTCTTGATGTACTGCGCCACGCGCAAGCAGTAAGCAAAACCTTCACATTTGATGGAACTTAACGGGCTTTTTTCGGTCTTGGGGATTATAGGTTCTTCCATTGGGACAACTGTATCTTCAAGAAAAATTTCAACTTTCCCGGAGCAAGAAAAATTACTACCAGACTCATGAAAATTTTTGTATTGAGATTGATTTTGCGAAATTTGACACGAAGGGGTTGTACTCTCAAAAAATGATATATAACTGTAAATTTCCTAACCCCTCCAGGGGGTAAAACATAGGAAATAATGGATTTTCTCGATAAAAAGGCCATAATTTATAGATATTTTCAAAAAATACTAGAAGAATAGAAGGATAAATATTGGGCAAGTTAAAAAAAATTGCAAAAACTATTAGGTGCAAGTATGTATTATTATTAATAAAAAATAATTTTCAAAGGTGTTAAAAATATATATAAAAATCGGGTGTTCAGTTAGAAAAGAATTTAAACCAAGGAGATAATGAAATTTGCTTTTTCATTGACTCAACCCTTACAATCAAGGCGTCCAAAGGAAGAAGAAAAAACTAAAAGGCAGTACTAACATTAATACTAAAATAAGTATCGGTAATTTGGCTTCTTGAACAAACTTCCTGCGAAAAAAATTAAAATTTAATCTTTTTTTATTGTTACATTGCGAAATTTGCAACTTTATTTCTTTGTTCCACATTTTTGACAGCACAAAATCGCCAAGCGCACAAAACACATCTAACGCTTCTGTCCCACAATAAAAAAATAACCGTGCAAACTGATTGAAACTATGAACATATGTTGTGGACATGTGTACCAACATTACAAAAAAAATATCGAAGCCCCCAAGTCACTTTACATTTTGAACACACCTCGTATATACGGTTTTGATGGACGCGACTAATTGGAAAGTAAAATCCGGGGCAGTTGTTTATCGTCGCTATTCGAAAATAAACGAACGTTCTCGCGCGCCGATGTCAGTCAAAATTTCAATCGGCACCGTTACGAGGCAACTTAATTGGTTTCGTACAACAGTCGATATAAATAATAGATAATAATAGGGAATTTCAGTGGTGCTGTAAACGAGATTAAATAATTAACCACCGATTTTTATTGACGGCCGTGGTTAAAAAAAAATGAACTTTAATGTACAACTGGTAATTTTTGTAGATTTTTTGATTGGTACATAAACATAAAATTTTTACAAAAATCACGACTAAGCGCGCTCATGAAAATTTTGGATCCGGTTAAAATATGGCACAAAGGTAGGCGATTTGTGGGGTCAGGTCAGGTATTTAATTGGAAATTTTCTGGCAAAATATAGGTGAAAACGGGTTTTCTGGATAAAATGTCTATAGCCTATCAACGTTTTCAAAAAATAATGTAGGATTCGGATTTCTCGTCCTTATGCAAAATTTCCGCTCAAAAATCGAAATTCGATTTCTATTGTTTAATATCTCGCTTATTTACAATGTTGAGAAATTGAAATTTCTATATTACATAACTTGGTATTTCCTCTATCGAATGATACTCAAAAATCTCACAAAAAATGAAAAATCATGACCAGACTCATTAAGATTTTGGATCGAGCTTGATATTTTTCGATCCAACCGAAATTTGACACGGAAGGGGGTCCAGGGGGTTAGAAAATAATGGATTTTCTCGATAAAAAGTCGATAATTTATAGTTATTTAAAAAAAATAATAAATTATTAAATTAAAACTATTAGGTTTAGGTATGTATTATTAATTAATACTAAAATAAGTATAGGTAATTTGGCTTCTTGACTACACTTTTTGACAAAATCAGCGAAAAAAAAAATTAATATTTTTTTATTATTACATTGCGAAATTTTGCACGCGCAACCACACCGACGATAGAGATCGGTGTATTTTCTTCACCGACCCCGCAATCATCGTACATTAAACTAGCGGGGTGAAGCAAGGGGGGGTTACGGTTTAACGAATGGAGATATGGATCGTGACTTCATGGGAAACGGCATTTAAAATGGTAAGAAGGAAACCCGCAATACGTGAACGTTTCAGGTCGTTGTCTTTGACCCCGTATTTGATTTAACGAATCGTCGTACCCCGCCTTTAGCTTCCCACGGGGGGGAAGGGGGGCACTTTGCTCGCGAGACAATGGAGCGAAATTGAGTTTCATTTTTCGACGGTTTTACCGACTATCTCGCTTATTAGTAATGACAGAGAGTCGCGCTTCTTTTTTGAGAAACAAAAGGTGGATCAGATGAAGCGTAGTATTAACAGCGAGTCGAAGCGAATATATGAATATAAATAAGAACTAAAAGTTCAGATTTTTACACCGTGCCTTTATCAAAAATTTTGATAAATGGATTTTCATCAAGTAAAAGCCACGTCAGTTCGAATATATGAATGGTTATGTAAACACAAACTTAATATTAACAGGTCTAAATTTTGTATTTTTGGGAAAAACAAAATTTTGGTACTGTTAATATAGTATGTACCTCATCTCAAATTTTGCTCCACACTCCTGTACAACTTACCGAACTATAAGATGAATGAGTTTCAAGTAATTCAGAATAGAGCATTAACATCGATCTTAACAAGTACACTCCTGTAAACCTAATGTCAAATGTTGTTAATGTCGTGACGGTTAAACAAGGAATTATTTATGTATAAGTTAAGACATAAATTATTACCTGATTACATCTGTGATAAAGTAAAATATTTTAAAAGCGTGGATAGTTTAGTTAGTTCAGTAGATAGATATTGCTCTCCAAATGATAAATTCTATTTTGTATAAGGATATCTCCGAAAAAAATACCATGAAAAATTGTGATAATTTCAATAACTTTAAAACTGTGTTGAG